GGAGGTCGGGTGGGCTGTGGGGTGACGGTGTGGAGAGGCGTGGGGTGGGGATGGAGGGTATCAGCGGTGGATGGGCGGGTGGGAGCAGTGAGAGAGGTGAAGAGGAGGGTGGGGGTGGGCTGTGGGGTGACGTGTAGAGAGGTGTGGGGTGGTGGGGCAGGTCAGGTGCGGTTGTGTGAGGGGTGGGATTGAGACAAGTGATGGAAAGATGATAGCAAGATAATAAAAGTGATTTGAAGGTGATAACACTGTGATAAGAATTGGTGAAGGGGTGATAAAGGGTGATAATGGTGATGAAGGGTGATCAAAGGCGATAACGTGATAAGGAGATTATAAAAAGCGGTGGAACGCGCGAGCACGGGGTGGTGACAACAAAAGGTTGCTAGGGCAGAAGTTGAATGGTGTGGAGCGGTAAGGGTGTAGGGTGATGGGCGGGTGGAGTGAGGTGGAGTGGAGCAAGGAAGGATGGCTCCCCCTGGATTTAAATGATATAATTTTCTGCAGGCCCCCGGACCCCCTCCTCCAGATTTAGATTATGTAATTCGGGGCACGGAATAAAATATGGGAAATAATGTGAAGAATTTAATCCTGGGGAGGGGGTCCCGGGAGTCTCGAGGAGCGGTGGGGGCCGGGAATTAAGTGATTTGAATAGCTCAAACCAGAACCCACCCTCACTATTTTAATTATTTAAGTTATTTGAATTTTAACGGGCCGGGGGATCTGAACGCCCCCTCAATATTTTAGTTATTTAAATCATGTAATTCGACCGGGAATTAATTAGTGTAGATAAATTAAGTAAATAACTGAAATTATTGGGAGGGGGGTGTTCCCGGGCAATGATAGATTAGCGGGGGGGTTCCGGGGCCCGGGGCCCACCCAGTTTATTAGGGCCGGGATTTAAATAATTTAGATATGATATTTAAGTCTGGAAGCCCCTCTATATGTAAATTATTTAAATCGGGCCGGGAATTAGATCCCTTTAAATACATAAAATAATGTAGACAATTTCAATCCTGGTGAGGGTGGGTTCGGGGTCGGGACCCCCCCATTTCAAACATATTACATAAGTTATCTAAATTACTTAATTGTCTGCCCCAACAGGGAACACCAACAGGGTTTATTTGGAAGTTGCATCTTGTGTATATAATTGTAATTGGGATTTAGAGCATCATTTCCTCTCTACAGTACAAGAGCCAGCTTCCAAATAAACCCGGTTTAAGACGCACCCCGCCCTCCCCTCACCACCCCGGCCCCCCGACCCATCCCCCGCCCCCACCCCGCTTTGTCATTTATCCAGCGACTTTTATGGAGTAACGCTAGTGTAATTGCTTCGCATGCTTGAATGCTCTTGTTATTACTTGTTTATATTTTTATATACAAGTATCTAACCAAACGAAGCAAAACGCAATGCAATGCATTGCAAGAACAAGACATGACATGAACTGATGTGACATGAAATGACAGGAGGGATGCATGCATGAATGCATGAACGAAACGAATGAAATGCATGAAATGCATGAAATGAAGAAATGAAATGATGAATAAATACATGAATGGATGATTGAATGATTGAACCAAGTAACGAAATGAATGAATGAATCATGAAAGAAAGAATGTATGAACGAATGAAGAAATTAATGAAGGAAGGATTGAACGAATGAAACGGAATGGAATGAGTGAGTGAGTGAATGAATGAATGAATGAATGAAATAAATGGTAAGGATGAATGAAATGAGTGAATGGATGGATGAATGAAACAATGCAAGAATGAACGCATGAATGAACCAATGAAGGAATGAAGTGAGATGAAATGAAAGAAAGAATGAGCAAACGACTGAATGAATGAATGAATGAATGAAATGGAATGACTGAGGGAGTGAGTGAACGAATGAGTGGATGAATGAACGAAATAAATGCAAAGATCGATTGAATGAAGGAATGAAGGAATGACTTGAATGAAACGAAAGAAAGAATGAATGAAATGAACGAGATGCATTAAATGATTGACATGAAGAAAATGAAGGAAGGAACCCAATGCATGAAACAACTGCTCTGAACGAAATGAATGAGCTGAATCAATTGAATGAATTGTATGAAATGAATGAAATGAATAAGTGAAATGGAATGGAATGGACTGAGATGAATGAACGAATGTATCCATTGCGGCCGGGGCGGGGGGGGGTTGAATCGACCTGAAGCCGAAGAGGCTTTGCGAAGCCGCATTGGTGCTTAAAGGGCCCAGTAGGCGAAGCTGAACTAGGAGGCGAAGACGCATTGTGAAGTCGCATTGGGCGAGAATGAATGAAGGAAAGGACAAGACATGAATGAATGCACACATAAAACGGTTACGTCATGAGATGACGACATGAATGGAATGAATGCAACGAATGGAATGAATGGATGATTTGACTGTTTGGGATGAATGGAAAGAGTGGAATCAATGGAATGATTGGAATGACTGGGGTGAATGGAATGAATGGAATTGATCGATGGAATGAGTTGAATGAATGGAATGAAAAAATCAGCAAATGGATGAACGAATGACTGAATGACTGAATGCACGAATGAATGAAAGAATGAACGCATGCATGTAGAATGACATGAAGGAAAGAATAAGATAACGAAATAATGAAAGAATGAAACATGAACGAGTGTGTGGGTGGATGGACGGATGATTGCATGAACATGAATGGAAATGGAATGAATGATAATGAAATTGAATGAATGAATGAATGAATGAATGAATCAATGAGGGAAGAAAGGAACGGAAGGGAATGGAATGGAATAGAACGGAATGAATGAATGGATGAATGAATCAATGAGGGAAGGAAGGAAGGAAGGACGGAATGGAAGGGAAGGGAAGGGAAGGGAATGGAATGGAACGGAATGAATCGGAATGAATGAATGAATGAATGAATGAGTGCATGAGTGAATGGAATGAGTGAATGCAATGAGTGAATGGAATGAAAGAACGGGACGCATGAATGAATGAATTTAATGAATGCGCGAGTGAGTGAATGGATAAATGAGTCCATGAATGAAATGAATGAATGACTGAAATGAAATGAAGCGAAACGAAACGAAAATGAAATGAATGAACGAACCCACGAATTGAATGAAATGAACCGAATGAACAAGATGCATGACATGATTGAAATTAAGTAAGGAAGTGACCGACATGAGCGAACTGAATGAAATGAATGAGGTGAATCAAATGCATGACATGAGTCCACCTCTGGGACGCTGAATGGGGAGGGGTGGGAGGGGTGGGGAGGGTGCGCAGAGGGTCTGGCTTGCCTCAAATGCAGAACTCCCTATGTAGGACGGCCGGGATGTCGAGGGTCTTCGGTACGACGAGGCTACACCCCGACCATCCTGTTATTCTTGTCTTTTCGCAACGTTCCCGAGGTCTGCAAAACAGAAGAAAGCTGACTTGAACTCTGGCGCGAGAATGCTAGCTTCTTCTTCAAGTTTCACCAGGGACATGTACAATGTCCATTTAGATCAAAATGTGGTTGCTGCTGCAGAAGAGCCGGTCAGCACATGTGAGCACGGGCGTGTGTCAACGCGTAGAGGCGCTGGAAACTGGCAGTGTAGGCCTGTCCCCGAGCCTGGTCGAATCGCTGCTGCAGCTTCAGCTTCATGTCGTCTGGTCGACAGTAGGGACCCGCGGTGAAGATGGGCGATGAATTCTTTGCAGGAAAGGCAGGTCCAGCGGTGACCTCTGCAGCTGCTGCCGCTGCCGCGAATGCAGCCAGAAGTACAAACATGATACCAGGGCCACCACAAGCCCTGAACTTGAGCGATGTCCACTCTCCCATGAAGGTCCCTGTCCCCGATGCCAAGAGAAAGGGTGGTGGGCGCGGGGGCAGGACTCCTCAGAGGAAGGCAGCCCCACATGCACCACCCACACAAGACTACGACCCCGCGGCCCTGGCAGCGTTCGGTTCGTACCCGCCTTACGGCATGGCCCCAACTCCATATCCGCCGGCTGCGGCAGGGCCTTGCCCCATGCCCCCACCACCCATGCCAATGTACCCCATGATGCCCTTCATGTACCCAACTATGTACCCAGGCATGGCTGGTGCACAGCCGCCTCCGCCCACGGGCGACTCTCAGAAGGGTCGAGGCAAGCAAGGCAAGCAGAAGGACACAAAGGACAAGAAGCGGCGTGGAAAAGGCAACAAGGGCGGCCGCCAAGAGCCTAGCCCTCCACAAATGGAGGGCTCGGACTTAAACTGCAGTCCGGAACTCTTGATGGTCAGAAATGCCCAGGGAAATTCTGCTAAGACCAAGCTTACATTGCAGGAGGCACTGCCAAACCTGCTCGAGTTTGCACAAGACCAGCATGGGAGCCGCTTTCTGCAGAACAAACTTGACGAAGCCAGTCCAGAAGATAGTCCCGTGTCTGAAAGCAGAAATTAGCGCTTAGCTGAACACATGTGTTGTCCATGAGCTGGCAAGTATACAAGTAAGGACAGTTGGTGTTCACCGGAATATGTGCAGAAGACGCTGATCCGGATGCTGTATCACTGGCCAAAGATGTCAGTGGCAACTTCGTGGTGCAGAAGCTCTTTGATGTAGGCAGGCGCTTTGCCACACCCTCATGTTAAACGATGCTTCGTTGCGATGGACATAGGACAAGGAGGAAAAGGACACCAGCCTAAGTCGCGAGACCTTGCCGAAATTCCTTGCCAGCCGCTGCGCTCATCTCCTGCCAGGCGATCCAGACCAGAAGAAGCAGCTTTGCGAGAAACTGCAGCCTGAAATTCCAAGTCTATCAAAAGATAATTACGGCTGCCGAGTGGTGCAGAAGGCTTGGTGGGCGGGGGCATAGCTGGGATCAAAGTTGCAGACTTTGTTGTGGCGTTGAGGCGATCGGGGCCGTGTCCAAGGACTTGCAGGTGTTCTTGGCTTCGTCACTGCAAAACAATGTTGCAGACTGCATCGTCAACATGCAGCCTGTGCTAACCAATCGGTCCTTGTCAATGACAAGCTGATGGGCTTTCGGGGTTGTCCTTGGGAGAGCAAGCCTCAACTTGACTTGGGACTGGTGCAGCTAAGGCATGGAAACCATGTGATTCAAAAGTGCATTGAACAGATGCCACCTGATTCCGTCAGCTTCATCATCCACGCCGTCCGAGACCAAGCCCGCTTCTACACGGCGAAACGATTAGATTTGCCGACAGCCGAGGTGGAGCACGACATCACGTACCTCGGCTTCGCAAACCACACGAGAAACACGAGAAATGCCTTGCCCCAATCCCTGTGCACGACAGTCGGGGCTTTGTTCTGAAGCGTCAGGAGCCTGGCGTCACATATATACGGCTGCCGAGTTATCCAGCGTCTCCTAGAGCATTGTGGAGCAGCCCAGCTCACGGACCCCGCGCCTGCACTGGGAATGGTCCACAGTGCTGCGAATCTCTGTGGCATGAAGGAGATGCTCGAGCGAATCCTCGTCAACGCTCAGGCCCTGGCAAAGAACCAGCCACGAGACAGCAGGAGGTGACAGGGTCCTGAAAGCCTCGGAGAACTGTGTTCTCTGAACATGGGGGATGTCATTCTGCCACGGACATACGTAGGGACGTGTGGGGACGTGTGGCGCAGAGTCATGGCGGTCTCAGAGCTGCTGAAGCGCTGCAACCGGACCACCGGAAGCAATGTTGGAGATTTCTCATCAGCTTGAATTGAATTGCAAGGAGGCAGTGGTGGCCTAGAGACCTGCAGTCTCGAAGAGATTTTTCATGATTTTTCCTTTCAAGCCTAATTCTTGCCCTTGCTTCGGAAGCCTCGCCTGGGAGTCACAAGATTTGCAGACTGAGGTTTGGCAACTATGTGGTCCCTTGGCTCAAGCAGTCTGCTAGACCCTCCCTCGCTAGCTCGATTGCGCGCTTGAGAAGTCTCGAGTCGGCTTGGAGGTGCAGCACATGCTGGAGCATGGGCGACTTCAGGACAAAGAGGCCATCATTGACATCGTAAAGCGGAATATCCTGCAGTTTTCCATGGACAAGCATTCGAGCTGTGGCCTGAGCAGCCCTTTGCATCGAAACCTCCATGTCCGAAGCGCCGAAGCCTTTCAGTGCTCACTCTGAGGCAATGTTGTGCCTTGCCAGAAGCCTTGGTCGTTCTTGGATTTACTGTTGGGCAGAGCCAGAACTGCACACCACTGCAGGTGGAGAAATGCTTTGAGATCGCTACTATTGGAGAGCATGCCTCCCAGCTGGAAGCGGAGAGGGCCCAGCTCATTGATGCAGTGCTTGGTGTCGGAGACACAACCAGTCACCAAGATGCATTTCCTTTTGCAGAAGCACGTATGTCCAAGCGACTTATGTCGGAGTTTGGATCCAGCAGCCGGATTCCACAGGCCCCCTGTGCGAAATGATGACGCATCGGTGCTCCTGCGATACACTGACATCCCAGAGTGAAGAGACCTCGTTGGAGGGCTGTCTTTCTTAGGCCACAGCTAGTCTATGCTAGTCACACTCCGTGGCAGGTACGGAAACTACGTGGTGCAGCGAATGATGGAACACAGCCGCGGAACGGAGAGAGAGCGCATCTTCAGAACCTTGAATGCGCTTCCTATGGATTATCGGTGTAAGTCTCAGATTCCGGGTGGCTGCGTGCCGGCTGCGTGCCGGCTGCTCTACTTGCGAAGACGGAGGTCCAATCAGCATGGAATGCACATCATGAACGCACTGCAGAAGGCTCTGGTCTTATCGGACTGACAGCGTGCTCGTGTTCGTGATGTCACCTGCCAGGGATTCAGGGAGTTCACGCCGGATCAAGCCAGTGGCAGCTAAATACTGCCGAGATTGAGCATTTCTGGGAATCTTGACTGGCAACCAGTTTTGCTTGATGCCGTGGGGTTGTAGCTGAGTCCTGCATACGCTTTGAGTTGATTTCGGCACTGCGAAAGGCTGCTGGCTGAGGCACCCTCGAGGTTGCAACTGCCTTTGGTGTACAGTACCTACTAGAGACAGCGGTTGGGATCAGGCAGAGCGATACACTTCGCACTGGGCCAGGGGCCGTGCAATCAGTTAGGAGACCGAGTTTTGTGGAGGGATGGTTTCGATTCCGGAGCATCATCTGACTAGAGCGCAAATCGAAGATTGAGTTTGCCGAAAGAACATCCCGCCAAATTTTTTTAACCACATGTAGAGCCCGTGTTTCCAGTGCAAGGCGCCTTTAGCAGTGCTAGGCTGCACCCAACAAGCCTGCACAAGACAAGCTGTGTGTGCGTAACGAGCTCGCCCGTATGTCGGGCGGCGGCGGCGGGCCATGGAGTGAGGACAGCAAGTTATATCATTCTGCAGATTCCAATCCCAGCTGTCCTCTTTTTCTGCTCAGCCCAGAGCCATGGCAAAAGAACTCGTGCCGTAGACATCCAAAGCCCAAATCAATGTGTAGATGTTGGAGGCTGTACATGCCACGATGTTTGCCCGGCGAGCGAGTCCAAAATGCAAGGCGAGGGCGGCCTAGTCCTGCAGGGGCGCAGCTTTGCAAAATGGCGCTGCATAGTGATCCGGCTCCCGCATGCAGCAGTAGAGGAGCGACGGATACGCAGCCAAACAGCACACGCGCAAATTTCCCATCTAATCTAATCTTAGCTCAGTTCATGTTCGGATCGCTTGACACCAAAGATGCTAGAGCCTGGTCTCCATGAAGGACAATCTCCAGCTAGTATGCCCAGGCCACCAGCTTCAAGTGCACGTTCAATGTCAAAATGCCAGACGTGATGGCGTGTGATCTTTTCGCAGAAGTAGCATGTTCGGTGGGCTGTTGAGCCCGCTTCTCCGACCAAGGGCCGAAAAGAAGCACCGCAGGGGCGGTCATCACGCTTGCTTGCTGGTGTACCGCTGCCGGTGAAGGAGCAACATTTTTTTGATCACTTCCAGCAATCTGCACGTGCCATCGTTTTGAAGCCGTGCAAGCCTTTCCTGACAGGAATCATGGCAGTGACGTGGCTGCAGAGCTTTTGGCCGCATGTTTCCAGAAACCACGACGCCAAGACCCGCCTTGGCAGGCTTCTGCCTGCGAAAGTCTGCAGCGATTGGAAAACGCTGAGCAGGTCAGCGCTTGTGCGGAGGAGCCTGCAGATGCTTTCTGAAATCCCATGTGCATGCTGTCATGCTTGTTCCTTTTCTTTCGTGATGGAAGGGTATCTGCTGCACTTTGACTCAAGCAGTCTTTCGGCATCTGCGATCCTGCTCGAAGGATATTTTGAAGGCAAACATCAGCCAAATCCAAGACAAGAGACATGCTTGCAGATGATTGTGCAGTGCAGTCATTTGTCGTTAGCCTTGCAGATCGCTTCAGTTTCGTCTTCGGCATGCATTGCCTTGATACTCGAAAATTGTTAATATCTATCTATCAGGTCATTGCGGGACACCCTGGATGTGCTGCAGGAACAGCAAAGAAGTAAAGCACGGCATGAAGGAGCAAAGTGTGAGTTTGCAGCCTCTTGTGGCAGGACTTTTCAAGATTGGGTTTGCAAGCCCTGCAAGAGTCGACCCGCACGGGATGTGAGGCGACAGCCTCGCCGCGTGGCCTGTTTGCACAAAGCGAGCGTTTCATTTCGCCAGGTGCTTTACGCCCTCGCAGTTGATTGGGTCTCGACTTCACTCTATGAGATCTGGACATGCAGTCGGCCAGATCCCTGACTGCAGTCGGCAGTCTCTAATGGGTCCTTGCACACCCTGCGGCCCCTGCGTCCGCGGAGATATCTGCGCTCAGGAGAACTCTAAGGAGCTCTGTGTTGCTTGGATGCATCCAGACGATGGTGCTTCTTTTGTTGCTCCTTCGATTCACGCAGCGACAGGCGACTAAACATGACACTAGGCTCGACTCGGGCTGGTATTGAAAGTGCCAATACTTTACTAGGGATCGGATGACAGAGGGCCAAGGACTTGTGAGCCTCAGCCTCCTTTCGTCTGTCTCTCTCTCCCTCTCTCGCACTCTCTCTGTCTCTCTCTAGGGTTTGCACTGTGTCGGGTCAAGCGCGCAGCAACAGCTTTCGACTGTTTCTCGGGTATGTGACCCGCTCGCTGAACTCCTGCTGCTGTCGTCGAGGAAAATAGTTCATCTTCCGTCGTAGAAGGAGTGGGACACATCGTTCCTCAGAAAGTCCAAGCGGGAAGTTTTATTAATTAGGGCCTGTGCAAGGGCACATATTCACTGGCGGCATGGAACGCCTCCCGGCAGTCGTGAATTAGCTAGTGGTCACCACGCACCGTACATGGCACGAAGTCTTTCCGCTTGCATCTTCTCGCGTTATGCTGTCTCGGAAACGACGATTTTTGGATTTAATGCCGAACAGGCTGGTCACATCCCGGATGTTTGGTGCTCGATTGTTCTGCAGCTTGAACTCTTGCTGTGCATTTCGTGATCTTTATTGTTCGATTCGGGAATGTAGGACTCATGTATGCTTGCAGAACTTTCCCAACAAACATTGTCGTCTTGGTCGGATGCTTGAGTTGTTGTTTGCTGACGACTTAGCAAGCAGCATCCATGTAGCACACTCTGTCTGGTCGATACAGTAGCCGGAACACTCGGGGGTAATACTGATTGTCGATGTTCGTTGCATTTTCGCAACCTTTGCTTGCATCTTGGGCAACCTTTGCTGGTGGAGTTGATGAAGACTTGATTATGGAAAATTCCTACATTATTTCAATTTCCTACTTCTTGCGTGGGACTTCTTTTCAGGCGACCGTGGGCGAGGCATCGCGTCAAACACAGCAGACCAGCTGGCAGGCCGTGAAGATGCAGCACAGCAACTCGGATCTCAGTTCATGTGAGAAGAGAGCGAGAGCAAGAGAGAGAGAGAGAGAGAGGGCCTGCAAAGTCTGAGCTTACTGATATTCGTTCGAGCCCTCAGAAGGTGCAGGGGATTTCTTGGGGGTTCAACAACGATTTTCTTGCCATGTTAGAGAGCCGGGGGAGCCCTGCCCACATGAAGCGTTTCAGCATGTTTCAGCACTGATACCTTGTCTCTATTGTCGAACAAAAGCAACGAGGGGGAGCTCTCGACCGAAGTAGGTCCTAGTCGTGTTGGGGGGGCTTCAGCGTGTCGGAATCAAGCCGGGGAGCTCCTAAACTCACCCTCAGTAAAACCTGAGTGGCTGTAGTTCGGCCTGGGCCGATGTAATGTACTCGTTTTTTTTGTTTCGCTCTCAGGAACCGTAAACGGAACTGCAACCTGGGGGAAGAGATGAGGAGACCGAGCTTTCACTTGGTTTGGTGATAGTGTTCCAAGGGCAAAGCCTCAGGGGGAAAACTCTTCCCGCCAACGAACTGCGGGTGTGCGAACTCGCACAGAAGTAATTGGACCGCTGCTTCTGCCTCCAAGGACTTTGGGTGCCGCTCCGCCCCTTCTTTCCTTTCTCTCCCCTTACCCTTCGTCCTCCAACCGGGGCGCCTGTCTCTTTTTCTCAGCCTTGTGCCTGACTTCCGAGCCATTGCTGAGGGAGGACATCGGCAAGATTGCGTTCTTCTACAACACCGCTCCTCCAGGCGACCTCGGTGTGCAACGCAGCACCTCGGTCTCCCCTATCTCCTGAATCTTGGCGAGTTTAACTGTCCCCGCGACACAGTGAAGTTCGTTGGGGATGTGCCCCAGAGCCATGACCGAGCAGACTGCACCCATGGAAGTGCAGCCGAACAAGTTTGAGTCCCCACAACGCAAAAGAGGCCCCCAGGATGAGCAGCTCAGTCTTGATGCAATTCGTGAAGTAGTACGGGGGAAATTCAAGGAGCCGTTGCTGGAATGACGGATCGAGTGGCCGCGCTTGAACGCAACCTGCAGCAGCACAATGATAGAACTTTCCAGGCTGTGGAGACTGTCCGCTGGACAGGCTGATCAAGGCCTACGTATCGCTGAGTTAGCTGCTGACTCGCAGACTATGGTGGGACGCCTTTCTCAGCTTGAAAGCAAAGTCAAGCAGCGCCAGTCAGCGGGGCGCACCCTCCACCACCGAGGGAGGACGCATTCCAGCTCTGGTTATGGGGGGATGGCCCCCCGACACCCCTGCGACTGAAGTGTTGCAGAAAGCGAACGAAATGGCGAGGGACCTCCAGCTGCAGCTCAACATGACCGACGCCTTTGTACCGGGGGTTCGTAGGGGATTCGTGCTTATTCCTCTTTTCAGCAAGATGGCGAATCTGAAGACGCAATGAGACAAAGAGCCCAGACATGCATCCGCAAGGTCAACAGTGCCAACATTTCCCTGGGACGCAAGCCTGATGGTAATCCGGCCAAATTGTGGCTCACTATCAGCCAGCCTCCGGAACGCCGTCGACGTGCAGCACTTGCAGGGAAGGTGAAGTGACTCATCATTGAAGCTGGGGGAGCCAGCGCTTTGGCGCAGATTGAACCAGAATGGGCAACAGGAATTGTTTGGTTCCGCAATAGCAAAATCAGCTCGGCCACTTCGGCTGGACCGCGGGGGTCCACCCTAGCAGGATGCGGCTGGATTGATGTGCCTCGTGTTGCCGAACTACTAGGAGTTGATAGCGAACGCCTCGATCGTGTGTGGGAGCCGTTGTTGGCGGCATTGCGATGACTGGATGCAGATATCTTCACGGCAGGGATTTACCCCGAAGAGTCTCACCCTTCACCAGAGCCGCCAGAGCCAGCGTCGCCGGCTGTTGACGACCCTGAGGCTGAGCCTACCCTTGCTACAGCGCGGCCTCAAGATGATGCTGTGCATTTGCATCTTGCAACTTGGAATCTAGGCGGCATGAGCCGGGGGGATACCCTGGATCTACTCGCCGGCTTCCGAGGCACCCCCGATTTGTCTTGCCT